TTAGGCTCCTCCATCCCCCCTTTTCCTCTTCCCCCCATCTGCCCCGGCTGGCCTGCCCGCCCTCGTGTCCCTCTGCCATTCCCCACCGTGGACCCTGAGGCCCTCCTGTCTGTGTCTGCAGCATCCAGGACCCTCCTCTAGATGTCTGATGCCAGGACGCATCCGTCTCCAGACTCTCAACATTTGTTTCCCTTTTTGTCTAGTTGTCCTCATTAGTCAAAATATCAACACCCAGGGAGGAGTCCAAGGTGCGATTTGTACAGCCAGCGTCCTGGCACACGGACAGACGCACACGCGTCATAACCAGTGCGGGCGCATGTGTGTGCAGACACATCACTGGCATTCGGAAGTTCTTACATGACGTCCAAGTTTTCTGGCTGCTATAAAATGTGCCAGTTTTAGCCCGGCCGGTGTGGCTCAGTGGTTGAGCATCGACCTATGAACCAGGGGGTCACAGGTTCAATTCCTGGTCAAGGCACATGCCCGGGTTGCGGGCTCAATCCCCAGTAAGGGGGCATGCAGGAGGCAACCGATCCATGGTTCTCTCTTATCATGGATGTTTCTATCTCTCCCTCTCCTTTCCTCTCTGAAATCAATTAAAAAAAAAAATTAAAAAAGAATATGCCAGTTTTAAAACCGTGCGCTCTGTTGCTTGCAAACGTATAAACCCCATTCGGATAAATGGTGGCTGGTCGCTGGCAGTTCATCTTCCAGCGATGGTTGCACGGAGTTCTAGATGTTATTAACCTCACCCCAGGACCCGTGACATGAAGGAGCATGAAAACACAGGGTGGGCAAAAGTAGGTTTACTGTTGTGAGTATGCAAAACAGTTTATTCTTGTATCATTATTTATGGATTATTGTATTAATTTCCATAGGAACAACTGTAAACCTGCCTTTGCCCCACCCTGTGCAATCACAGAGGAGGGCAGCCGGCAATAAGGGGCATCAGAGGGCTGGCAACTCACACCTGAGGGTGGTTCTCAGCGTCTACACTGCCCGCCAGCTCACTCACGGTTTATGAGAAATGCAAGTTCTCGGGCCCGTCCAGACCTACTGAGTCAGGAGCTCTCGGGTGGCCCGCGGCTCTGATGCTGAAATCCCTCCTCACGCTGCTTAGGAGGAAGGCCTGTCCCTGCCAGAGGACTCCGTGGTGCACAGGCCGCCCTGTGGCTCAGTCTGAGGTGTGTCCAGTCCCCCGTGCGGTTAGTTATCTGCCTCCCGGGATCTGCCTGATCCTGTGTGTTCTTGTCAGCTTCCTTCCCTCCCGCACCGCTGGGTCACCCCCCGGAGAAACCACAGACACCCAGTTCCTCTCTGAGGGTCTGCTTCGGAAGGCACCCCAATGACACGGAGGCAGGGCAGCATGTCCGTGTGAATGACTCGCGCTTGCCGTTACGCATTTTGGAAAAAAGCTGGACAAATGTGAGCCCGAGGAGGGAGGAACTACGTCACTTCCATGGGGGTGAGCTTCCCTCTCCAGCCCGGAAGGACCCTAGCGGGTCCTGTGCTCTGGCCTAGATCCAGCCCGCGGCCGCCTCCCGCAGTCTCCTGGTCCAGTCGCTCACTGGAAAATGGGTTCCTCCGGCCGCACCCCCGGGAGCACCCCTGCCATGGGGAGCAGGACAGCTCCGCAGTTTTCCTGCTGCTCTTTCTGGGGACCAATTTTGTAAGTTTCACTACAGAACCAGAGCATCATTCTGAAACCCAAGGCCAAGATTCGTCTGTGTCCCGCAGCGCCCTACCGGCCATCTCCCCAGCTCTCCTCTGCACTCCCACCCGCGGCCAGCACTCCCGGAGGCGGAGGCGTGTGAGAGGAGCCGTGCACATTCTGGCGGAGCATCTGAGGCAACTGTCCTGCCCGCTACACGGAGTCCCCACCCCCACAGGCCCCGGACCGCACAGCCCCGGGCGCAGGCAGCCAGGGCTCAGAAGCGCAGCGACCAGCACAAGGCCGCGGGGCTCTGCGTGTGCACAGCCCAGGCTGGATGGGGGCCTCTTCGCTGGAACTGCGGTGGGGGGAAACCTGGCTGGCCTGCGGGTGGTGGCTGATGAGGGCGCTGGGCAGGGCCACTCGCTTTAACACATTCCGCCATGAGGGAGCCATCAAGCACTGACCCTACTGCAGGGGAAGCTTCATATTAGGAGCGGTGGGGGGGGGGGGGGGGGGGGGGGGGGAGGGGGGGGGAGTGGGTCCTTAGGACCCCGGACAGGCATGGGGTCAGAAAACGTGTCAACAGTGTCCCGAGCTGGGTCACAGCGTGTGCTCCGTCATCCTCCCCAGCCTGCCTCCGCCACAGGCCTTGGCCGCACACCTGGCTTGTCACTTTGTCCTCAGTGGGAATGACGGGTGGCGACCTTCGCCACAGGAAGCTCTCAGGACACCACATGTGCCCCGTTGGGTCCTTGCCCCTCGACCCCAACACCGAGTCAGCCGGGAACAGAATTGTGCTGAAATGAGACACGGCTCGAGGCTGGGTGCGAACCAGTGCTTTGGCCCCTCAGACAATAGTTTTTAAAAAGGCGGAAGTGGTGGCTTTAGGCCCAGGATGTGCACTGGCAGTTGTCTCAGTGCCTGTTTATCAGACTGTCCACGGAGCCCCGGGGTCTCCCTGGGAGACGAGCATCAAAGCTGACAAGCCAGGGGTGCGCGGCTTCGCGGAGGCTGCCGGCCCCCAGCAGGACAGGATGCCATCTGAAGCCCGTGAGTTCCTACCCTAGGCTGGTGCAGGCGGGAGGGGTGGGCCCAGAGCCACTCCGCACCTGGGCACTGCAGGACTGCCCGCCTGCCCAGTGCCCCCTGCACACGCGGAGGCTGGGCCCAGCGGCCGGGGGCCCAGGAGAGGGCAGCGGGCCTGGAGTGTTCCGTGGGCCCGAGTGGCTCTGTGCGGCCACAGCATGTGTGTCCCGGGCGGCAGGGGCCCTGGAGCCACGCCTAGAGCTGCTCTGCCTGCCCCGCCCAGGCAGGGACACGCGGGAGAAACAGCTGGAGGAGGGGCGCCATCTGGGCAGCCAGGAGGCCCCATGGGTCTGCCTCCAGCCCTGAGCTCCATGCGCAGCAGAGCGGGGGAAGGAGGGATGCGCAGACCAGCCCTGCCGCCCCACAGCGCGGGGCCTTCAGCAAGGGGCGCCTCGGGCTCCCGCCGTGAGTGAGGCTCACAGCTATGCCCACCACGTGCCGTGCCGCAGGGGGAGGCGAGCTGGCTCCTGTGAGCTCGGCCGGCTTCACAGTGGAGGGAGCGCAGGCGGGAAACCTCGGCCCCCCGCCAGCCGCGGCCGTTCCACTGTGCGTGGTCGTGGGACCTGAGCTTTAGAATGCGTAGTTTGAATTCATATTGAAACAAAATTTGATTCCCAAATACTTTCAATTTTCTAAGTTGATCCTCATGCAAAAACACATCATATGTATAGAGCTTATCACTGAGCGAAGCGCTGACTTCAGAGCAGAGAGCCACGCGGACTGCAGGTCCCCAAGAGGGAAAGAGCGCAGGCGGGGCCGGAGGCCCCAGAAAGAAAAGCCGTTCTGTCTGTGTCTAGTGTGTCACACCACCCAGAGGGGGCACACGCTTCTCACAGCGCAGGCGTGCCCGTGTGCCCGGGCTGCAGGCCCCCAGGAGACGGGCGCAGGGAAGTCTCACCCCACCCCCAGTCCGCCTGGTGCAGGCCCGGGGCAGGGCCAGCTGCTGGCTGACTCAGAGTGGGGCATCCGCACTGCGCCCGAAGCCAGGGAGCACAGGATGGCCTAGATTAGCTCCAATCCAGTGCAGAACATTCTAGAAGATTGAAGCCTCTGTCAGCTTGGATTCACTGGACCCTCAAAGAACAGAAACTCCAAAGAAGGCTACACACGAACCCTTGCACCTGCTCCGACCCATCCTTAGCCCATCAGATATATCTCCCTCTCCCATCCTGGCCATGAACCCCCAAAAGTTGAAATGGGGTTCACACACTTAGGAATTTTGCCAAATTAGTGCTTATCGGAATTTTAAAAATCTCTCCTTAGCTCCTCAGTGCTGAAGCCCCGAAGTTATCACGATTTAAGTCTAGGTATGTGGGGAGGGTCTTGCGTGCACTGATGTGGAGGTGGGCGCGTTCAGGAGCCCCCCCCCCCCGCCCCCGCGGCTCGCAGCACCACAAGGAGTCCTCTGTCTCTATAACACCGCCCCCCAATCGCGCAGTCTCATCCCAGATGTGTTCTAACGTCATACACACTGTCAGCTTCCAACGCCAGACAACCAGCCGGAACTGCGTGCTTCCCCTCCACAGAAGGCCCCACGCTCGGCTCTGCGTGGGGCACAAGCCTTTCCGGGCAGCGACTGGGAAACCTGCTATAGAGACAACCAGTCGCTTTACACACCAGTCGCTTCAGGAGCAGAAACTCACACAGATTCTCAGAAGTCCCCGGCGTCAGGCCGGCCTGGACCCAGGGGAACGGCTGCTGCCGATGTCCCCGGGACAGGACTGTGGGCACGTGTTCCACTGCCTTTGGCACAGCTCGTCCACGTGGCTTCTCCACTGAACAGAGGGGTGGGGCCCGTTCACCGGCAGCTCCGGAGCAGCCTGGAATCAACCGGGCGCCCCGAAGGACATCCATCCAAGGCTTTGTCCAACTCCCCTCCACACTCACTCTTGGTCATTACTCGATGAAACAAGGGAAGCAGTTGCCAGTGAAGATATTCACTAGTGAGGCTTGTTTTGTGCCTATTTGGCAGCAGAATGCATCCCCAAGAACTGGACAACAGAGGTCGTGGGGGACAGCATTCCTGAGCTCAGCGTGGCCCGACACAGCAGAAGTGACACCTGCTCAGGGCAGCCACAGGAGCCCCGGGTGCTGGACCCGGCACACAAGCGTGAGGCAGACAGCCCAGCGGAACCTGGAGGAGGGCGCCATCAGAACCAGCGCCCACACTGCTCTCTATCAGGCCTGGGCCTCTTGGGGTGGCATCTTGCCTGACTCTATTACAACACTGTCCATTACCCACACCCCTGTGTGCGTCTACTCCCCAGGTTGTGCTTCCTGGGTAGACTTCCGGTAGCACTTTCCTGGTGGACTTGCCCAGGGGAATGGGTCAGTTGAATTAAATTTTGCCCAGACAACTACAGTCAAACATTTTTTCATTAAAAACATACAGCACAGAACATTAGCCTTACCTCTTTCTTAATCTTAAAAAATAGAAATTTAGAGGGATCATTTGTACAGGATGTATAGGTATGTACACCTTTACTATGCACGTGAGAAAGCAGACAAGTTTACAAAACCTGCACTTTACAAACGCTTTCCTCCTGGGGCTCTGGACCAAGGCAGCTGCCTGAGTCCCTGTGCCGGGCACCCGTCTGCTGGGAAGAACCGATCCCCCTGACCACGGTGCAGTGTCAGGAAAGGCAGCTGCCTGAGTCCCTGTGCCGGGCACCCGTCTGCCGGGAAGAACCAATCCCCCTGACACGGCGCAGTGTCAGGAAAGGCAGCCGGCAGGTCACGGGTTCCTCTCCACCGGCTGCTGCAGGCAGAGCTCGCTTCCGGCGGAGACGATGGGCAGCCTGTTTGCCAGGTGGTGGTTGATGAGGTGGCTGATGCTGTCAAAGATCCTGTCCCTCGTCCGGATCTGTGAAGGGCACGGAGGGAAGTCAGCATCACACATGCAGAAATGAAAGAACAGGCCCTGCTTGGTGTCAGCCAGGCCATCTGAACTGGAGGGTCACTTCCTCCCTCTCAGAGATGGTCTGCAAGGTCCCTGGTCACTGTTGCTGGCCAGTCTATTCAGTCTGCTCATCTATCCACCCCTCCGGGACTGAGCCATGGCCTCCCCCACCTTTGGCAACCAGGCGCCATGGTGAGCTCCCCTGCCCCCTGCCAGCCTTCCCTTCCCTGCTCCCTCCTGCCCTCATAGGATCCATCACAGAAACCTGTCTAACTGCACCGCTCACTGAGGTCTGCAGGCTTCCATGCCCCTCCCACCTGCAGGCCTTTGCATGGCAGTCCCTGGGCCCAACCCCTCACCACCACTCCCCTACCCGCCCCCCACCCCTCCCACACACACACACACACTGAGCTGGCACTTCCAGGTACAGACCACACCTGAAGAAGGCCGTATGAGGCCTGGCCAAGAGCAATCTCTCAATATATACTCTGGACACAGCCCGCTGGGGCTGCTCCTCTGAGAGGGAGTTGGAGATAGGTAAAGGAGCGGGTACCTGGCTACACCATTCACCCTCCAGGCCCTCAGAGGGCCCTCATGGTGGGGCTGGGAGGCCTGGATGCCCAACCTGTCTCTCCACCTTATTGCTGGGAGCCCACCCCTTCCTGATGGTAACCTGCTGTCTCTCACCCCTCTCCTTTCCCCAAGTTCTTAATCTCTCCCCTTCCCTAGGTAGCCACTGTCTCCCCTCCATCATCTCACCAACGGGACATTGCTCTCTGGCTTTCAGCCCCCATCTCACTTCCGCCCCAAATCTATGCTCCAGGTGTGCACATCAGACACCCCTGTCCAGGCCGTCTGCTCCGAGCTCTACCAATTAGCGGCCAAAGGAACTTTAAATTAGGATGTTTTCACCTCCTGGGATCCAATTCTGAGGCGGGCCCCTCCGCACCCATCTCTGTAATCACCAGAGGCAGAGACCTCCCAGGCCACAGGGTCACCTGACTCTTGGGCATTAGCCTCAGTAGAGATGTAATCTCATGGGCACATTCTGAAAGGGACCTTTCTGTAGGACTTCTGGCATCTTTCCATTGAGGTTCAGTCCTCCTGGAGCTCCTAGAATTCCCCGCCCAGAGGGACCACCTGGGTGACGTGGGCAGACCCTTCCTTGGAAGCCAGGAGCGCTCAGGAGCTCAGCTTGAAGCTAGTGTTGTCAGCATGTTGCCTTGACATTGACTTCTTATTCCCACTTCTTAACAATTAGCACTCATGTAAGTCTGGGGCAATGAGGGTGGTTTAAGGAGGATTATGACAGGAAGTGTCTGAGACAGTGGTCTCAACCTGGGCTCATGTCAAAATCACCCAAGGAGCTTTGCTAACTCCAAACCCAGACCGACTGTATCAGGAACTGGAAGTGGGGCCCAGGCACTGATGTATTTTATGCTACATCCATGATTCTAACTTGCTACCCAAACTGAGGACCACTGATCAGTGCTTTGGAATATATGGCCTGGCTAATATAAAGGCACACTTAAACAAAGGCACAGAAAAGAGGTAAGTCATAAATTCACCACATTAAAAAAAAAAAAAAAAAAAAAGCCAGTTCACTTCATTCTCATGAATAGTTACCCAAACCTGAGTCTGGCTCCTGCCCAGAGAACTTGGAACCCACAGAGCTATCTGTGTGGAACCAACTGCCATGTGCCCGAAGTGCAAGGGCTGGTTAAGAGCACTTAGCCACCCAGGCAAACTTCCCCAGGTACCTAGAAGGATTCTGCTGCAGCTATGACATGTGGAATGTTAGCCCAGACAGCTGTGTGAAGTTCTGCATAGCAACCAGGAAGCAAACATGAAGGCCATAGGAGACCAGAATAAATATGCATATGTTGGAAGAAGAAAGATCTGAAGTCAATAACCTAAACTTCCACCCTGGGAAACTAGGAAAAAAAAAGGCAAATTAAGTCCAAAGTAAATAGAGAAAACAAATAATAAAGGTTAGAGCAGAAATCAATGAAATTGAAATGAGAAACCAATAGAGAAAACTAATGATCCATAAAGTCAGTTTTCAGAAGAGAGAAACTCAACAAGCCTTCAGGCAAACTAAGGAAAAGAGAGGACACAAATTATCAATATCAGAAATGAAAAAGAGGGTCATCACTATAGATCTCATGGGCATTAAAAGGATAATAATAAAATTTAAAAAATGACGGCAGAGTAAGTGGATGCTGCACAGACACTCTCCCAGAACCAAACTGGAATTACAACTAAAATACAGAAAAGATTCCAAGAACAGAAAATGAAGACTGCATAGAGACTGGTAGGAGGGGCAGAGGTGCAAAAGGGCTGGTTGGGCTCCCACTGACAGCAACTGAAGTTCTGGAAGGATATCTTAGCTGTCGGGGGTTGCCACTGAGAACTCTGGGGTCTAATCCCCAAGCTGGGTCCCCCAACAGAGAGCACCAGAACTGAGAAGGGTGCCCACATAACATCTGGCTGTGATAAGCAGCAGGGTTGCTATCTGCCAGGGAGAGAGCTGGAAATTCAGGTGCCCTCTTAAAGGGCCAAACACAAAATTCCCTGCGTAGCCACTCATTTTGTACTCTGGCAGAGGGAGAGCAGAGTGGACTGGAGCTGTGTGAACAGAAGCCAGGATTGGGGCACTGGGGGTTAGAGATCAGAAGGCAGACACATCAGTTTCCTATGCTGAGTCATTCCCTCAGGCCATTGAGGATATCTTTCTCATGCAGACATTTATTATACAGGTGGCTTCACCTGGAGGGGGCGGGGGGGCTAGAAAGCTGACCCACACTATTGGAAAACGCCTTGCTCCATAGTGTAGTCTCCAAGGCCCATTCCCATTAAGAGACTGAGAATAACAATTAGCCTCCAGGCAGAAGCAATTGCACCACCTTGTTGAAAAAAACGGTCACCATACCTGTGGATCATTGCCTGAGGGCAATTCAAAACAGAATCCTATCATTTTGTAGGCAGAGATGGTCTCTGGCTATGAGTCTTTACCTGAGCTAATTAGTCAGAAACAGCATTTGACACTGTCCTGCACTAGAGATTGAGAGCGGTAGCAGATCCACCTAATACATAGTCACAAACCGAAATAGAAAGCCAAAATGAGGAGACAAAGAAACAACCCCCAAATGAAAGAACAAGAGAATTCTCCAGAAAAAGAGATAAATAGAATGGAGATAAGAAATTTATCAGACATAGAGTTCAGAATAATGATGGTAAAGATGTTCAACAGCATGAGAAAAAATATAGTAACTATGAAAGCAGAAATAAAGAATGACATAGCATAAATAAAGAACATATTAGAAGGAATACACAGCAGATTAGGGGAAGCTGAGGATCGAATCAGTGAATTAGAAGACAGGGTTGAAAAAAACACTCAACCAGAGAACCAAAAAGAAAAAAACAATTAAAAACAGGAGGACAACTTAAGGGAGCTATGGGACAGCATGAAACATAACAATATTCAAATAGCAGGTGTGCTAGGAGAGGCAGAAAGGTTGAAAGGGATAGAGAACATCTTTGAAAAAATAATGGCAGAAAACTTCCCTAACCTGGTAAAAGAAAAAGTCACACAAGTTTAGGAGGCACAGAGAACCCCAAGCAAGAAGACCCCAAATAGGCACACACCCAGACACATCATAAATAAAATGCCAAAAGTTAAAGACAAAGAGAAAAGCAAACTGTTACCTACAAAGGAGCCCCCATAAGGCTGACACCTGATTTCTCATCAGAAACTCTACAGGCCAGATGGCATGAAGTACTCAATATAATAGAAAACAAGGATCTGAGACCAAGATTACTATATCCAGCAAGGCTGTCATTCTAAGCAGATGGTAAAATAAAGAAATTCCTGGACAAAAATACATACAGGAGTACATCACTACCAAGTCAGCATTATAGGAAATGCTAAAGGGACTTCTGTAATGAGAAGAAAGAGAGAGAAGCGTAGGCATACAAAATTAAAATGGCAATAATTATGGACCTATCAATAATAACCTTAAGTGTAAATGGATTAAATTCTCCAGTCAAAAGACATAGGGTAGCTGAATGGATACAAAAACATGACCCAACCATATGCTTCGTACAAGAGACCAACCTCAGAACAAAAGACACACACAGGATGAGAATGAAAGGATGGAAAAAAAATTTCCATGCAAATGAAAAAAAAAAAAAGCTGGAGTAGCAATACTCATATCTGACAAAATAGACTTCAAAATGAAGGCCATCACAAGAGACAACAAAGCTCACTACATAATACTAAAAGGATAAATCCAACAAGAAGATATAACCCAGGTAAACATATATGCACCCAATATAGGAGCACCTAAATATATAAAAAAACTTCTAGAGGACTTTAAGGGAGAGATTGACAACAATACAGTCATAGTAGGGGACTTTAAGACCCCTCTGACTTCACTGGATAGATCTTCCAGACAAAAAATTAACAAGAACACAGTGACTCTAAAGGACACACTGGATCAGATGGATTTAATTGACATTTATAGAGCATTTCACCCCAAAGCTGCAGAATATACATTCTTCTCAAGTCCACATGGATCATTCACAAAGATAGACCACTTGTTAGGACACAAAACAAGTATCTACAAGTTCAAGAAGAGTGAAATCATATCAAGCATCTTCTTTGATCACAGTTGAATGAAATTAGAAATCAACTACAGTGAAAACACCCCCAAAACATTCGAACACAAGTTATTAAACAATGAATGGGTTACCAACAAGATTAAGAAAGAAATAAAAAACATCCTGGAAACAAATGAATACACAACAAATCAAAATCTCTGGGACACAGAAAAAGCAGTCCTGAGAGGGAAGTTCATAGTACTACAAGCCTACTTTAAAAATTAACAATAAACTATTTAACCCTACAACTTAAGGGATTAGAAAGAGAGCAACCAAAAAAGCCCAGAGTAAGTGGAGGAAGG